TAAGGAGACGGGGGGAGTGTGTGCGACCACAGCAGCCACCAGTTCGGAGAAGTCTACCCAAGACGATCCTCTCCTTCCTTCTCAACCATCACCTCCCACCGTGGCTGTGGTCTATTATATTTAATGCTGAAACCGTCGATACAGACCCAACTCCGACCTCCTCTGTTTGGTCAAAAAACGTTAATTCATAACTTCTTGTACAAGGCCTCCTTCCACTATTGACAGACCTTTTTCAAACTTCAGAATACGACCCTCCCACCGGGCAGGGTGAATATCGGTCGAGGAAATCCTCGACAGGGGGGTCGTACCTGTTGGGCTGGTCCATGGGGGGTCGTACTCTTGGGGGTCAGTAACAGAAGTGGTATCATGGTGCAGATAGGTAATAGGGTATAGCGCAGCAGAAAATGAAAACATCCGAAAAAAACATGATATTAAATTTTCTTTGCAGGTTCAGTCGCTCCATTCCTCCACCTTCATGAGAAGGGCGTATTTGAAGGCAGTACAAAGAATGAAAGTGCATCCCCGCAAAGAAGACTGCCACATGTGCGCACGCGCTGCAAAGGCACCTCCTCCGCCTATCACTCGCTCCTTCCCTTAATACCTCGCTGAGAATGACGCTGTTGTTAGGGACCCTGTCGGAAAAACGACAACCGTGAAGAAAAAGCGCTGGGCAAATGAAGTTGTTTTTTAGGTTACAGGAATAGCACAACACACTATGTCTACTACAATACAGTTTCGTTCGAAGGTCCCCATCATATAACACCTTTCAATCGATTCTGCAACTGTGAGTGGAGGAGGGATGCATGGCTTATACCAATACCAAATCGGATGATGACGATTGCTCCTATTCTTATTGTTTGCGTTCAAAGATATTGTTCTAGACACATTCCGAGTGTTGCCAACGAGTCACACTTGCAATGGTGAATGAGGGAGCGGATTTCCAGGTGGCCGGATCCGACCTCGATAGATCCTCGACGCAATTATCTCTTCAACCAAAAAGCTGTAGAAGAAAACTAAACAGACCATCAGGAAGCGCAAACCTTCCGCTTTCCAAAACTATCTTCCCTTTTTCAGGATCTTACAATATAAGAGATATATTGCTCTTGAAGTGGCAACAACTCGCGTGAAAATTTCGGCCTCCTCGACATTTACTCGACGAAATTTGACAGACCCTATCTTTCTGCAAGGAAGGCTTCCAGAGCAATTTCGATGCTTGTTGGAAACGCGAAATCCAGCTCTATCTAACTCTACCTCAAGCTGCTTCAAAGGTTGTGAAATGGAGGAATGCAACCTTTTCATCGAGGGTGTAGATTCGGACGTTTTTTTTTGAAATTTCGGCAAATCTGACCCAGTGACAATCGCGCCGCAGCTGCCGTTGAATCGGCCTTTGATACACTCGGCTGTTTTGATATACTCAAGCAAGAATCAAGATTGAATCGCAACCCCGTGTCTTCAGGATTTCTGTGCGTTTCTGAACGAACCTCGCCTTGAGGTCACACAAAGTTAATGCCTCTTTCCTCGAGTCGATATTTCAGTATGTACACAAAAGTATGCAGCGATGGAAGACGTGCATAGATGACAAGATGAAGCGTCCTTAGCATTATTTTGCAGAATTTTTTTGATTGTTTTGATTTTTTTTGATTTGTTTTGCAGGATTTATTTTAATTGAATTAATTTGCTCTGTTAGAGGGGGTCGTGCCAGGATCTCGATTTTGGGGGGGGGGGGGGGGGGTCGTACCTCTGCGACCACGTACTCGACACGAGTTTTCACCCTGCAACCTCCATTCCCACTATGGCAACCTTGTTCAACTCCAGAATGCGACCCCTCCCCCTTCGCGAAATACAAATGCGACCCCCTCGTTCGAATAGCGCGAACGGAGGTTGACCCTGACTAAAAGCTGCATTTCTTCTTGAAAGGTGGATTCATCCCTGTCATTTTACGCGGCCCCTTTCAGAATCCTCTTGATTTTCCTGAATTGAGATTTCTCCAGAGAGCCGTAGTTGAAGCGCGCGCAACTGACTGGGCCCACTCTGGGATGCGCCGTGTGCTTCACATCCCTTCAGATTGGTGGACTCATTTGAAAGATAAAATATCCTTCGGAAAACGTGCGAATTTCGGATTCTTAACCTTGTCGTAATAAATCACTGAGGGAGCCTAGGATTTCTTCGCGGACCCTTTTGAACCACGAAAATTCTGCGTGGATCGTACAGTATTGCTATTGGAAATCCTCTGGCCAAGCTTGCAGATCACTCCATGATGTTTGTATTTTTTGGACCCCTTCCTTCCAGCAAGCTAAATACCACACCTCCCTCCCTGTCGACCTGTCGAGGATTCCTCAACGCAAGCTTGATCCTGGTCTCGCACTGACTCAGCACAGTCGATTACGAACGTGAACCCTTAATCTAAGCTTTTCGATGGATTCCTATACTTTTTTCTTTACTTCGGCCCATTTCGCACAAATACATTCGTATTCGTGTGCAAGAAAACGCCAGTTCGATCCTGGGGCATGCCTTAAAAGTTGAGTTGCAAGGAATGGCTATAGGTTTCTGAAGTTAATGTTAAAAATTGCATTTTTCTGTTTAGTGGACTAGTTCCTGTCATTTTGAATAGTCCCTTCTGTCCCCTTGTTGTCTCCTGAACTCGCACTCCATTGCAGTGAACGTGAATTGACCGTATGGCGCTAGTCGAACTGGTCAAGCACGCGCCGTGCGCTCGACATCCTACGACGTCCGGCACGAGCCGTGTTCCCATCCGCTCCCGAACAGGCTAATGCTGCTCTGATCATTGCTGAACCAGCCCTCATGACCCCCCCCCCCCCTCATCTCACTTGAGTTGAAACGACTCCCTCGTCGAGGATTCTTCAGCGCACGCTTTGCACGCTTGACACAACTATCATGTGTTGCAATGGGTTGGACAGCAGTAATGGAGTGGTGTGGTAGAAGTGACCACACTATCAAATTACTCTAAACTTTTTCACGCTGTTTCCTACTTTTTCTAGCAGATCATTAGCTGCTATGGCAACACGCTTGTACCATACAATGTACCGACGTTGTTGCACGCGGCGTAACAGGTCTACATAGGATATAATCTCTGCGTCCTTCACTTTTCTTTTATGATCCTCTCTTGGTCTAAGCTCAGCCCAGCATGTCTTCATGTTGTCCCGCCTTAAAAGGAAGTGTTATCTTGAATGAACGGTATGTGTGGATCTCCCTAACCAAGGAAAGGGATTCAACGTCCCCATGGATCTTTGTTTAAAGGACGAATTCACGCTGGAAAGGCAACCCATTTCAAATTAACTCAGGGATGGTGATTGGTACACGAAAGAAGGAAGAACCATGAGAAACGGCCCAGAACCCGAGAAATGGGACCCCTTCCTTCCCCGCTGATTTGCGCATTGATGCGACTCTTATCGCTGTGCCCTCCTCAACATCACGCTCTCTCTGCTATCTAATCAATCCCACGTATAGATCTGCGGCGAGTGATCAGCTGGTCGGTGGGCGGAGATCGCCAGACCCGCCAACTTTGAGGCATAATAGGTCGCCGAGGTCAAATTTTTCGATGCGAATTGCGCATCAGTTCGCACCCTCAGGAGGTCCGTGGGTTACTCAACTAGGTGAATTACTTCTTCCTCGACCTCCATTCTAATCGTAAAATCCTCCTAATGGCCAGATATATCGATAGAGCTTAACACGCTGATTACAAAAATGGAAACTAAAACTGCAAAATGAACCTGCCAAGGAAGTTGTGAGCAGCCAAACTTGGCCATAGTAAAGCGTTTCATATGAACCTTGTTAGCCTCCGAGCTTCCGAATTCGCGTGCGGAGTAGCATGTTAGTACACCTCAGCTCTGCCAGGTGATTGTCATAAGTTCTCCTTCTGGCGAGGAGTGAAAAAGCGCTACATTACTTCCGCAACGCCTTTTGAAAGTCGCGGCAGGCCAGACCAGCTAACACCGAAGCTTCACTTTCCAGGCAACTTTGACTGCTCACAACTTCCTTGGCAGGTTCATTTTGCAGTTTTAGTTTCCATATTTGTAATCAGCGTTTGAAGCTCCATCGATATATCTTGGTCTCAATCTCAAAGTTCCATGGGAAGTTGAATGCTTTGCTTGGTAAGTACCCAAAACGTAGTCGCGAGATTCTTCGTAGCGGCAACGCATCAACTCTACGTCTTTTGGAAAGGATGATACCGGCACACCCTTCATTCCGGAAAGCGTTAAACTTGGAGAGAGATTTAGCTGTATTTTGCAACGATGTCCATTGCTGATATTTTTCCCTTAAAGCAACAGTTCAGGGAGGGTCCGAAAATTTCAATGCCACTATGCCACTACTGAGGGATACACGAGCCCTAGTGAAGAACATATGCAGTGGAAATAATAAACGAACTTACCTCAGAAACTCAAAAACAGGGTGGAAAGTCCCTCAAACATGGGTGTTCTTGGGGATTTCCCCAATCCCGCCCCCTTGCCGGCCGTCATTGGACGCGTCGGCAATCGTGCTCGTTTTGGGACCACAGGGAAAATTGATTGAAAAATGGAGCGCGTTTACAGCGGGCACGTTCAGACAACTCGTCCAACGTGCGTCTTTATCCATTGCTGAGCGGCAGAGGGAGAGTACCTGTCTAAGACCCTCCCCGACGTTTTTTTTCCAGTTTTTCATACATTAATCGTCTGGTTTTCATCTACAACTTCATTATTGGTGGTTTTTTCCCGCGAAACCGTTCCTGAACTGTTGCTTTAATTCTGCGGAATATTCCATTCAACAGAACCACCGGTAATAGTTACCTCCAAAGAAAGCTTCAGATTTTGGTCGTAAGAATGTCGAGATTGCAGTCATATTTTTCGCAGCGTTATTCGACATGAAGCAACCATTGTGATGGTTTTAATGTATTATGTTGCCCAAAATGCATTAATGTTGAAGCAGTTCAGACGCTGAATTAAAAATTACTTCATATGCACATCACTCTCAATTGAAAGGTCGAGTATAAATACAAGGAAATATTAAACGATCATTTCCAATTGTTTTGCATAGAAGATCGTTTGCTTGGCAATGCGAGCCGTATCCAGCGTTGGCTTGTCCGTATGACCCGTCTCCGTTTCAAATACGAAACAACCATGTTCGCTCTTCCACTTCCGCTAGAAAAAAAAAGTATTTTATAGTGGTCGGAAAAAAGCATACACATTCTCCCTGTCTCGGAGGCTTTGCAGGCGGAGTTAACAATGAAAAGGCAGCTCATTAGAAAGAAAGGTGAGGTAATCAGCGGTGGAGGGATGAAGCAAAGACGGGAGACGGACTTTAGTCGAGAATGATTTCTTGATCCACCTCGCGCCAACTACCTCATGCCTCTAGGCTATCGCCTGTGGGATATCCTCAGTTGATTGACTATGCTTACTGCTTGGCAGAGATTCTAACCATTTAAATGCTCAAGGACGGTAGACCTCAAAATCCTTATCTTCACATGAACAAAACAATTCGACTAGTTTTTATAGACGATTCACCTTCCAATTTTGTATCATTTTTCTTCCATCACGACTTTGTAGAAATTGACAGGTTATTGAAAAGCAATAAATTCTCCACTACTTTCTGCATTTTTCCTCATTTTTTTTACAAATCCCGCCCAATGGTACGATTTCAGTTTTGAAATGATCAGTTTACCGGCTCGTTGTTGCACATATAACATTTCAAAATGACCTGATAGCTTGGTTGCGCTGCATCAATCAGATGGAGTGGAAATCAGAAGGTAACGTCCGTTGAATGGGTAGAATGCTTTCTCCTTCATTCAAAGTCAAACAACATCCTTGAGAATTTTTCAAGATTTGGCTTTGACCCAAGCAGATGCTTAACTTCGGGAACCTGCTATTCGTGAGGCAGCCATTTTTCTCACTGTCAGATCTATCTTTGCATGCAAACATTTCAGTACAACTTATATAATGCATGCAAACATTTCAGTACAACTTTATAAAATTCTTTATTCATCGTAAGCTGCAAAAGCGTCAATAAAATGCTGGGAATGAAAATTTTTCGGCAGGCCGAGAAATTTTTTTTGCAGGATTATCACAAACATTTTTCTGAAAGTTAGGCTTTTTCGGATAAAAATAATGATGAGCGTGCGTCATCATTGGCTCACAAACTTTGAAAAATCTCATAGTTGACTTTTTTTCAAATTAAACCGCAGCAGAAAAGAATGTTAAATGGTACACTGCCGCTTCCTTTGCTACGCATTTCAACAATAAATTAACCAGAGCAAGAGCCGGTTAGCTGTTGTAAAGCATATATCGAGATTGAAGCAACAGTCCCAGCAGGGTTTTTACCTTCGACACTAATGGTGTGGAACGATGCGCTAGCCCTAGTCAAGAACGTAAGAAGTGTGATTGTACAAAAAACTCACCTTGGAAAGCTGCTAGAAAGGGAGCTGAACGGCTCCGAAGTGGGTGTGGTTGGAAATCGGCTGCAATCGCCTCGGCTGATTTCCAACCACACCCACTTCGGAGCCGTTCAGCTCCCTTTCTAGCAGCTTTCCAAGGTGAGTTTTTTGTACAATCACACTTCTTACGTTCTTGACTAGGGCTAGCGCATCGTTCCACACCATTAGTGTCGAAGGTAAAACATTGTTGGGACTGTTGCTTTTTACTATCACTGAATGTCGCTGACCAGAATTAAGTGACCCACCCAAAAAATTAGGATTGATCATACCTTCACGAAATCGACAATGCAAGTGAAAAAAATGCAAAAATCAAATTAATACTGAAACACAACTGAAACGCGGGCCAGAAATGGTTCAATATGAGAAAAAGGTTCAAATATTCGATTTGAATCAATGAGCAACAAAAAATGATCGCTTGTGAAATTTTTGATTCACTCCAAAAGTTGTATTGAGTTTCAACAAAATTCATGAAGTCACAAATACAAATGTGCTGTTTTCTACGACATACTAAGAACACAAAATGAATTTGATCAAATTTTATAGCGAAGAAATTTGAATTCGAGATGCTTCGCTGAAAAATTTCCTATCCCTTGCTTTGTGACAATTTAATTAAATTTAGTTTATATGGCTGTTGACTTTTACCTACTCGCGTTTGCATTTTCAGATTTTGTTTCGCTCAATTGTTTTGTTTTTACTCCGCATTTAGGTGATGAAGTTCATAATTCAAATAATCGATACTGAGTCTGAAAGGAAGAGGTCAGCAGGCAGCCCAGCACAAATAACAGGGTCTTCTGATCCGCTGGAAGCCAAGCAATCATTTTCACTGATTTTACGGTTTGTCATGCTTTCAAATGTTTACTGCATAATTATTAAACGAAACTGACCTGCTTGGCGAATTCGTTGACCTGAGCGTCACTAGTAAACAGCAACATATTGGCCGCATCACGTGTACTTAACAATTTGAACGATTTCTCGATGGAAAGAGCAATATCGCTTCTGAAAAAGGTCCCAGCGGCTCGCTATAATACGTAATTTTGCAGAGATACGCTTTCAATGAATGCAGAATGGGAAGAAAAAGAAACAAAGCAAAGTTGTTGTACTCTAAAAACGACTACGAAAACATGTTTACATGTTCTGGCAACATTTGATTCAAAAGAAAGGAATTTCGACATACCTGACCGCATCCATCATAATTCGAATGAAAATGCTGTAAAATTGACTAGGAATTGTTTTCTCCGTGAGAACCACCTAAACAT